GAGAAGAAAGGAGGCTGCTGGGCTTTCGTGAGGTCGCAGCAAAGCCACAGAATTTTTTTTCATTGTATTATGATTATTATTAATATCATTTGTAATTCTTAAACAATTTAAAAATCTCTCCAAGAAAACGATAATGGCATCCAACAGCAGAGAGGCGCGACGGCGGCGAATAGTTGACAAAGGATCCGACCGGATTGCGCTCATCACCGGCCAGATCCGCAACCTCCAGCCGGACTCCGACGCCGATTCCGAACCGCGACATTCCCACACCGCCTCATGTCCGCCCTATCTCTCTCGCGAACCTCGAGAACCCGACTTCCCCTCCCTCGGTGGGTTTTCCCTCTCTCTCTGTCTCTCTCTGCACTATCAATCCCACCTTTTTTATGGAGGAAATTGGAAGAGTGATCGATTTTACTATTGATTTCGTATAATTTTTCTGCCGCGGTTACTATTTTCTATATTCAGTCGATTTAGGGTTTTTTTTAATGTTGATTGATATGATGAATTGACGATTGATGATCACCATTGCATCCAATTTGGTATTCGTTTGGCATTTTTAAATGCAATTTAAAATTTATTTAGTTCTGAATCACTTGAAATTTTTATGGGGTAGTCATTATGTAGGGTTCATATCATTAGTATTGTTAAAATGGTGCTTTCTTTGCTCGTTTGTCACTGATTCTTAGTGGGCATGTAAGCACTTTTTGCCCCCTTCAATTCTTCATTTAGAATTTTAGACGATGATTATGGCATTTGGGTTTTTTTTTGAAGAAGAATAGGATACTGTTGCATTACTTGCATATGCAAGCCGAAGTCCTGTATTGGATTCTTTCTCAGGCGAAGAATAACCTTTCTTGAACATTTGTATGTTAGATGAGTACCGAGCCATTTATTATTCTTGTTCTGGTTGCATTTTAAACTTTTAATTTTCCTTGATATAATGAGGTCTTTCTTTACCACCCTTAATATAATGATTTAGCATAGTGTTTTTACCAATTTAATTTTTACCGCATTACTTTAGTGTATGCATTGTCTGGCATTTCTTTATATACTTCGTACTCTGTAATACTTTGAGGAAATGCTAAATCATTATAGTTGAAAATTGTTCCTATGGTATTGTTGTTTTCGGATCTTAAACATATAGTGTTATGTATACATATTGTGATGTGATCTTCATAATTAGATTCCAAACCTAATATGTTTCACCAATCCCAATATTTTTACCTCATTATATTAGGCGTGGTTGATATAATGATTTTTTTCTCTTTCACATTATCCTTGTAGTACTCTTTTACACTCTCTCCCGTTTATTCTGCTAATCAGCAGACTATGCATAGGTTTTGAACTTTTGATTTGCTTATATGGCCAAAGTGGATGTTGTTTAATGCTTTATCTTTAGAAAAGTTCAGTAGATTTTTTCCATTTCAGCCAAATAATCCTTACCAAACATGTCCTTAATGCAATGTCCGTGTGTGTGTGGTATTTTCTTGCTTGCAGGCTCTATTGATGAGGACTCTGTTTCCGGTAAATATGAAGGTGAAAACACAACATTTCCCTCTATCCGCAAATGTGAATCAAACAGAAAAGCCATTGGAGCTTCGTCTTCGGATCTTCCCAACAAAGAACCACCATTTCAGGTCTCATCTACTAGAATTTCTGCTTCTGGAGGGGATCATGATACGAAGCGAGTGTACAGTTATCCAAATAACTTCGCACCACAGAAAATTGTTTATGCAATCAAAGCCTGTGAGAGCATTCGCACTCGTTGCTCTCTAGCAGCTGCCATTATAGTAGTCTTGTGTCATGTAGGATTTCCTCTCTTGGGGACCCGTTTGGTCAAGAGTGTCGTTCTTTTCAGACCACTGCTTCTGCTTCTGCTGACCAACGTATCAGTTGTTGTTGGACGGCTTCTCCTTGAAAAGTCCACGCCCGGGAGGGTTCAACAAGAAGCAGCCGGTGGAGTTTTAGCAGATGAGAATGACATAGCGGATCGGGTCGGAAAGGTTCTAGAACTCGGATTGATGTTGCAGAAAATCATGGGTGCAGTGTTCATTGACAGTAGTGTTTATGCAATATCAGTCATTTGCTGCCTTTCCTTTGCACAGAAGCTTGGATGGTAAATTTGTTTATTCACAGAATGTGATTCTTTTCAGCAGGCAGGTGAATAAGATGCAGCTTTCCTTTTAGTGTAAACAAAAGAAGTTTTTGTATTTCTGTTGCTGTTGGAATGAGTTTGTTTTTGTTTCAAGCTTCATTTCTTTGGTAAATTTTCTTATCATTTTGTTATTGTACTTCATTGTAACTCCAACTTTCTAATTGTGTATGATGACAAAAAAACCCTAATATATACGCTTTCCGTCTTATATTTTTCTTCTGGTTTTCTTTTCGGGTTGTTCTATACCGAGTATCCTTTTTCTGCTTTACTCCGGTACATTACAAATTTTGCCAAATAAACAAAATATAAAAAAAATGAGACGGAGGGAGTAAACAAATGAATGAGTTTATCATGTTTGTATAAATGTAGAGGGCAAAAGTGGACATATTTAGCATTTTTCCCCTTCTTCACTTCACTACATATCTATAGATGAATACGGAGTATATCATATTTGTACCCAAAAGTACTCAAACACCCCTCATTGATATCTCCATCTGCTCCATCCTCTTGGCTAAATCATGCTTCCCACACTGCTTCAACCCATCAGTGACCATATCAAAGCTCTGCGACATCGGCAACACGTTCGCCTCCCTCATCTCCGCCAGATAATTTGCAGCCTCGACGAACCTCCCCCCGCGACAACACATCTTAATCATCATCGTGTAAACCGGCCGGTTCGGAGGGTGTCCCTTCGCCTTTACATCACCGAAGAAACAGAACGCGTCATCAAATCGCCCTACGCGACAGAGGGCCTTCAAAATAGGGGCATACAGACTAGGAAACGGCCTGGTCCCTTCCTCGACGCACCTGTGAAAGACCCTAAATGCATCTTCAACCCTCCCCAGCTTCGAAGCCGCGGATATAATGATCTTGTAGGTCTCCACATTAGGGCACAGCCCTACCCTACAAACGTCGTCGAACAGGCCAATGCAGAAGTCAGACTCGTCTGACTTGTTGCACAGCGCGTCCGCCAAAGAGTTGAACGTCTCCACGTCGGGTATGAAGCCCTCTTTGGTCATTTTCCTCACCAGTCCCTTCCCACACAACATGAAGCCTTACTGATTATGAGATGTACACACAGCAAATACTCATAGGAAAACATAAAGAACACTAAATATGTATATACCTTTGCGGACTCCATATACCCCGCGTTTAACAACCCATCAATGAGTAGGTCGCGTCCCCGGACAGGAGGGTTGAACCCTTTTCGGCTCATCTCCTCCAAGAACCTCTGGGCCTCTCTCATCTTCCCCGCGGAGCACCAGCCGTTCACGAGGATGGAATAAGTCCTCTTGTCTGGGGTGACCCCTCTGCGCGTCATCCTGCGGATCAACGCGTAGGCTCCCTGGAAATTCTTCACCTCACAGAGAGCAGAAAGCAGTGAATTGTAGACTTCAGTGTTTTGGGGACAGTTCAAGTTCTTGAGGCGGTTGAAGAGGTGGACCGCCTGATCAGTGAGGCCATGTTTCCCATATTGTTCAATCACAAAAGAAGCTATGGTGGGTGTCACGGGAATGTCTTGTGCCTTCATCTGCTGAACAACCTGTTGAGATACATGGGTTAGGTTCTGTTGACATTGATAACCAATGCTTTGATTAAGAGAAAGAGAAAGAGAAACCACCTTCCACATGGTCTCCCAGTGAGCGGTTCGGGCGAGGGTCTTGAGAAGCTCTTCAAACTCAACGGTGGTGGGGTCGTAGTGGGGATGGTGGGTCCTCGCCCAGTTGAAGAAGCGAAAGGACTCGACGCCATGTCTGGGGCAGCTGCGGAGGACGCGATAAACGAGCTCAGAGTTGACAATGGGAGAGACTCTCATCTTATTCAGAGTCCTCTCCAAGTAGATGTCTCGCCGGACGACGTTTGATATGTGATGAATGGTGGCAAAGTAGTCATCGTTTGACACTCCTCCCCGACGACCACCGGCCTTCTCACCTGAGCCAATGGCGGCAGCAGCGGTTGTTATGCTTCTGAGAACGGCGGTGGGCCTGGTGGCGGTGGAGGAGGAGGAGGTTAAAATTCTGTGAAGAATGGCTCTACAGAACATTGAAGAGAGGACCTTTTTAAAGAGTTATTTCGGTTGGGAATTTTATCAAACATGTGGGGTGCATGTCCGGGCTGAACGTTACTGCATCGAGCCTTAATGGCATAGATTGCCAATTGTTTGTGATGTGTGATTTGATAAGGTTTTTTTCTTTTTTAACATAAAAAATAGAATTAAATTCGAATATAAAACCAGCAAAATGGCCAAAATGGGATATCGTTAAAGGGAATGGTTTAGATTGTTAAAAAATCAAACGTATAATAGTAAAATTAGTGAGATATGGAGTATTTATTTTGAAGTTCACGAGGTTCCGGTTTGGACCATTGGAGAACTGGATCCGGTCTGAGCTCAAGGAAAAGTTACAGTTGAAATTTTGGAATTGTTTCTTTTGTTTTTCATGCTTAATTTATATTTGTTCAAGATTGTCTCACAATATTTACTTAAAGAATATGAAGTAAAATATTGGAGTACAACATTTTTTTTAAAAACCTAAAACCGGTTCAAAAGTCAAAACTGAAACCAATCAGGATTGTCTGAAATCAATCAGGATTGTCAGAGAAGAATTTGTCAAAGAAGAATTGTGGCAATGGTTCCAGTAATTAACTTCCTACTTTCTTGTTTAAATTAAGTTGAGACAAGGGGAATATTAATGAATTAATTTGGTTAAAAAAATACAGTAGGACTTGAGACGAATTTTTTTGGTAAATGTATATATATATATAAATAAAACCGAAACCAAAATAACAGTAGTTAAATCTGGTTTTTCACATTCGATTTAAATCTTTCGAGTGTCGATATCGTTAATTAGGCTACTGACTTTTACTCATTCATGAGATGAAAGGAAAAGATTAGTCCTAAAAAGTGCATAAAATATCACCCTAAAAAAGGTGCAAAAATTATTTCGAAATGAACAAACAAAACATCTGCTAAACTTATCACAACCAACCAGATAAACAACATTTGACAGAACATTATATGATGATTAACATATGCTAATCATCAAATAATCATACCATCTATGGAGAAAGACATGTTATGCTTCACACTAATAAATGTGATAGGCTGTCTGTCTCATGCCTCCACCAGCAGTTAGAATTGCTGGGGTTGGTAAGAACTTGTGTATGCAGTCATAGAAGCCGCAGCCACTGCCTCCGCCCCATAATCATATGCTGCGGCGGCGGCATACTCGCCGCCAGGCACGGCGCCGTGTGGTCCCGCTGCTTCATACGAAGTCCCCTGTACCCCCGCGGTAGAGTATCCGTAGTGCGGGTGATGTGGCGGTGCCGGATTCCCTCCGTACATTCCTCCGGCAGCCGGCGTTTGTGCTCCTCCATAGTGTGTGGATGCACCCCCCCGTAGGGCACTACCCGTTGTGACCTCCGGTGGCGGAGGGTACCCGTAGTGCTGTGGGACCGGAACCGGACTCTCTCCGTAGCTTCCCTGAGCTCCGTAGTGTGTGGGTCCACCACCGTGTAGGGTCGTGACCTCTGCTGGGGTATGGTACGGGTAATGTTTAGGGTACGAAGCAGGACTACGCGGACGGGGTTCGTTATAATGTGGGGTATATGACGGTGGGGCATGCCCTTCATACATAACGCTAGGGCTTGGTGAGTAATTATATGGTGCCGGGGGGTATCGCCCCAAGGAGAGGGGTTGTCCTAAATGTGTTCTGGGAGTACTTCTAGGAGGATAGGGAGAAGCTGTGGAAGTAGAAAACCTAGCAGCTTTAGGCGGGCGGGAGGAGGATTGGGTAGTGCCACGGTTGCGGTCGCGGTCACGGGTGCGGTTGCGGAGACGGGCAAGGCCACGTTCACGGTCACGGTCACGCTTATTCATAAGCTTGCTTGGAGAGTTATTTCTCTTTGCTGACTTGGCACTCTCAAGCTGCTCTACCCGTTTCTTGAGTGCCTCTAAGGGCACCTCAGCTTCAAGCTTGAGATCTTCCACGCACTGGATGATTGCCTTGGTGGCATCTAGCTCCAAATTGTTGGCTTTTTCCTGAAAAGATCAACAAGGAGTTGAACAAAAAATATGACATAAAAAAATGAACAGAATCACTAGGGACAGCACAGAATTAACATGGTGATAAAAATATGAGTAATTCATGGACCCGTTTGGTAGCTCAAACTGAATCTTCTGAAAGGGGACGGTTTTGGCAGCATGCATATTGGCCAAATTAGCAAGTCAAATGGTTATGTTGTTTATGGCTACCAAACAAGGCCTAAAAGGCATAAACCTGTCATAAGTATGTGACTGTAGATATGACTTCACATGTCCAATAACATTGTAAATTATCTGATTGAAGAAACTTAACACTATGTTTTGTACAAGGAATTTGAAAGGGAAAAGAAAAGAAAATGAGATGGAAAACAATTTTTCTTCTTTGGTTAGAAAGGAAAAAGTGGAAGGAATTTGTAAAAGATCTGGTTGAAGAAACTTAACACTATGTTTCTCCAAGCATTCATTGAGTTAACGATCCCTGCACAGCAAACTTAAGGACATAAAGTAGGAGAACAATGAACGCACCACTGCAGCAGCACTGAAATTTCCCTTCTTGGAAGCATCTCTTGCATTTTTTTTACAATTTTTTATGGACGCCTTGATGAATGGAACTGGAGGATACTGTTCGGTTAATCCAGCCTCAGAAGAAAAATATGCTGCCTCAATCTCCTTCCCGTCATTCACCAGCTGATCAATAATATCTGAACAATACAACCAACATGAATCAATATTTTCAGCCCTAAAACATAAGCCATTGATTTAAAAATAAGTGAAGCTGCAACCCATTAAATTGTTCAAAATTTTCAAAGATTTGTACATCATTTTACTGAAACTTCTCTTGTTTTTTTATCTTTTTAGTTTGTGGCAAAGAGTTGGGGAGGAGGCTGGGGGGATGGCCAGATGGGGGCTGGGATAGTTTTAACAATATTCAAAAAAACATGATAACAGGTAACATTTTCTAAACATGTGGCAGAACTCTAGTGAAAGTGCAAAAAATGTTAAATACAGTTATTTTCTTCTGTTTGATCTAACCTTAAAAATGCAAAGGAAATGAAATATGATAATTTAAAAAAACCTGTCTTGCATTTATATTTTCATTGTCTAGACATAAATAAATAAATAAATACGGAGTAAATAAATTAATTAATAAATAAAATGGGACTAAAATGGGGGCAAATACAAAACATATATTAATTGATTGTTAGCCTATCTTTTGGCTTCCCTTATATTTTCTTTTCTTCATATTCCCATATATGTTGTCATTTCTACTTCCCCCTTACTATTTTTGGGATTCAGATGCACCCATAAACATTTTACATTACTATACAAACGAATCCATCACAAATATTGGAAATGGAATGGTAACGAATGTAGTGTTTATTAGAAGAAGTTGACCTGGTACTATGTTCCCAAAACCTAAAGCCATAGCAAGTTTTGGCATATCTCTTCTGGAGGCAAATTTCTCAACCAGTTTCCTCAAGAAATCATCTTGAAACTCCTGCTTTAATCCAAACCCAACCACTATCTGCAAAAACATTGATGCTTCATTGGGCCTGGCACCACCAGTCGTGTCCGCATTTTCAAGAACACCTTTCCACTTCTCTAGAGCAGATAACGCCCTTTCCTTTAATGTCCTTGACACAACACAGCATCCTTCCTTGAGCGGCACAACAGACTGAATCAACATGGAACATACCCGCCTCCTATCTGCCATCCCAACCGACCCTTCTTCCTTCATTCCTACGTAGTCCTCCGCAGCATCCAAAACCAGCCTGAAAAGTTGGCCAGCCACTAATAAGACAACCAAGGAAACCCTAATATAATGGATATTGTTCCCAAAAGAACTCTCAGCAGTGTGCCACTACAAGAATCAAACTCACCAAAAAATTTGAATCACAATATCATTTCGCCTGATGAACATTCTTAACTGTAAGGGAATTAAACTTTTTATAGAACACACTATAGCACATTTAGAATTTCAACTTAACAAAATTCAATTAAACCAATTTAGTTTATCATAATAAATACTACAGCAATGAGAGCAAAAGCTCTTTTTTTGTGAAGTGTTTTGACAAACATATACTAAATGTTTGCCATATGTAAGCAGAAGGGAAAATGTATAGACACCTCATGGGGTCGACTGATTCTTTGAGAGCATCAGAAATCTCAGCTCGCAGAGCAGAAGAATCCCTCCGGTGCTTGAAGAGGAACTCCATGAGCCCTCTGGAGTCCATTCTTCTGCAGAGGTATCTCAGCATATCCGACCCTTTCATCTCCTTCAACTTCTCGACGGCCCGGGGGTTCTCGATATCCGCAATCGCCGCCGCCTTGAGCTCCTCGACGCGGGCGGCCATGGAGACCTCGCGCGCCGGGATCCCATCCTCGCGATTCCGGAGCTCTCTGAGGGAATTCTCAGTGTCCTGCCGCAATGACGCGATCCGAGCATCAAGGGTTTCGGATTTCTGGGAGATGGAGAGGTCGATCGAGGAGAAGTGTAATGTTAGGGTTTTGTGGATGTCTGTGATGGTAGATAACAGGGATCTGCGGGCTTCGATCTTGGAGAAGAAGGACTGAACTGGCTCCGGGTTGATTGCGATTTCTGTAGCCATGGCTACGGAATCCTGCTTTTTTTCCGCCGTGAAGATGATATGGGTTTTCGTTTCCTAAGGGCGTGTTTGGTTCAAATGCACGAAATCCTTAATGTGGGAGGGTGCCAAACCAGACCGAGCCGGACCGGAGGGGAACACGATCGAATGAGGTCCATCTTATCGGTTGAATATGGTTACTCGGTCAGGACTAGGGCAGAACCAGGCCGGTAAAATACGGCGTTTTTATACATTTTATTTTTCAAAAAAATAATACTACTCCATAGTATTTTTTTTATTAAAAGTATCATATCATATGAATGTACAATAACTTTTAGTATGGTGTGTGTGTCTATGTATGAATGAGTATTAAGATTTGTTAAAGATCATTTTTAAAAGAAATAAATAAAAGTAAACATATATTTCATCTGTCGCACAAAGAATTCACAAAAGATGAAAAGGGCTTAAATAAATAAAAATCACTTCTGTCCATGCTTCCTAAGGGATTAAGATCATGGTTGTTTCTCTTTCATTTTGAAGTTCACCTCAAATCCATTAGATTGGTACGATGTTTAATTTCAAGTTATTTTAAATTTTATTTATTTAAAAAATTAGCATGAAATTAATAAATAAAAATTATATTTTATATAGAGTAAACCATAATTGGTCCTTTATAACAGGAGGGTTTCTGATGGGAAATAATACGTGGCTCGGCCCACATTTCCCAATTATTTTACGAAGAATAGTCAAACCCGGCATGTTTAATAAAATAGAGGAATAGGAGGAAAATTCTTCCGAAGATGCTCCCCCTCCCTCCTATAAAAAGAGGGGTGCCCCCAATGTGAAGAGGAGGCCATCTATCACACTCTCCCCTGCCAACTTCCTCTCTCTCTAGAAATTTGGTAGTTTATTTCTTTAAAGAGGCTTCAAGCTTCCATAGCTTCCATTAATGGCTTCTATGCCTAAATCATGTACCGTGTATACACCCCCGATATTAATAAAAATCCCCCGTTGGCAAGGTACCGCCAAAAAAGGCCCGTGGTTTTTTCCCGATTTGGGTTTCCACGTAAAAATCCTCGTGTTTATAGTTTGGTGTATTTTTAGACTAGTTTATCGTTTTAGCCGGGCTAAAAACGATATACCGGTCGATAATTTACACCATCATTTTGGCGCCGACCGTGGGACCTGAGCAAAAGGTCATGATTTTCTTTAGTGCTCTCATCTTGTTCTTTGAAAAAGATTGAAGGAGATGGTGCTCAACCAAAAAAAAAATCGTCCCTCTCTCGGAACAAAGGTTTGCCTAAAACTAAAGGTTTTTTGTTAGTTTTACAAAACAATAAGATGGGTACGCTTTTTTCTCTTGTCCTCTCTTTTTAATGTTTGGGCCCAAATACCGGCCCGCAAAATGGACTTCTTCCTGTCCATGCCGCTGAAGCTTCCATTCGACGACAAACCAGCAGCGGGAATCAGCATCTAGCAGTCGGACGCCTTCCTCCAGCACCTTACTATTTCCGGCGACGAGGAGGAGACTCAAGCGTCATGGCTGCCCCATTCCGACGATAGAAGAAGCACTTCGACGGAGCCTCTCACTGCATTGGAAAAATGGGGGAAAGATTTAGATCGAGTACCGAAATCTGACCTCCGCGCCTCTTCAATACCGCACACGGTTACCCCGCCATCGGAGGAAATTCTCGTTGCTGTCAAAGGAGAGAAGCCAATCTCCAAGGGGGCGCTGGCCTGGGCTCCGTCTCATGTCGAACACGCCAAGCCTCTCACTGCTTCCCCCGTCGCCGGCCCTGAGATCTAGCACGGGCTGGAGGAGCGTGGGGGAGAGGAGCAATCAGGAACCACTGTCGACACCTAGCACCAGAAGTCCGCCACTGCCGACACTGAGGTAATCTTTGGCTTTGATGGACATGGGAGCCACAGTTTGCTCCCACTCTGTTTATCGCCAGATGATGATTTCAGTTTTCCGTTGCCGGCAGCCTCTAGCTACTCATCCCTAGAGAACTGTCCGTCCATATCTACCGAAGCCACCAGAGTAGGCCATTACTGCCGACGAAGCCAAACTTCGTCGTTGCCATCCCCACCACAGTTATTTATCCTCACGACCGCTTCAACGTTTCCGTTAAAGCCAGCCGACCACGGAAGACTCCAATTTCTACTGGATTTCGTAGCTGACACTCCCACCGCAGGAATCTGGTCATTTTCGCACTTCAAACCAACTGCCGCCGCTCAGATCTGCCGCCTCTGCCGCTACTCAGAGCCGCCGCTGCCACTGAATTCAATCGACAGGATTTCCGCTGCCGCCGAACTCAATCATCGTTGGTCGTTGGAGCCATTCACCGCCGTCCGCATCTAGGGCTAGGAGCTGAAGTCGTCGTCGCCGCCAGAAATCTGTGACTACGACTCGTTTGCAGAAAAGATGATCTTGAGCAGGAGAAGACCGGTTTAACCGGAGCGACGTCGGTCACAGATTTACGGTTGTAAGGTAATGCCTTTGCCTATCCTCCCCTTGAAGGATTCTCATCGGACGCTGCCATTACCGTCAAAGACAACCGTCATCATTATGGTCTCCGCTAAAATTGCCGCCAAGAACACCTCATTCAACCATAACCGCCGTTGAATTTCAATTGAAGTGGCCGGAGTACATCACCGCGGCAGGCCATCTGCTCTGTGCAGAACCGGCCACTGCCATGGTTCTATTGCAGAAGTTCATTTTTGTTGCTATGGGGTTGTTCAAACCCACTACGCCTGCTTCGATATGTCGCCACTGTTGGTGTGACTTTCCACAACCGGCTTGGGAGGATGCTCTCTAGCTAAATCCGGAACTGCTGCCGCCATCGGTGAAGCGCTGCTCCCGGTGAACTTCTCTTGCCGCCTTGGCTAAGTGTCCATTCTTCGCCGTGCAAACGAGGGAAAGCGATCGGCGGGTTGATGGGTGTTACCGGCCTCTGTGGGTGTCCCCTCTCCGCTCCTCCATGAGTGGCTAAGAAAAAAGAATGCTACGGGAAGCTGCCTAGCTTATTCGGCCAAGATGAATCCAAGCAAATACTCCGTATGAAGAGTCCACAGTGCAGTACTGCACATGCCATGTGGGGTCCAATTACTCATTATTAATTGAATAATTTCATACACCCAATTATGAGGGGCCCGTTCAATGAAATGCAAGTCGCAGTCCACATGCTATGAATCGAAAAACATCCATGGAGAAAAGTGCAAAGCTAAGTGGTGGGACCATTTATATTATTCAATGGATGGCGCTTGCAAAAATACAAATGGGAAAAAGCTTAAAAAAGGGTGGGGGATCATTTTGAGTGGACCGTACCTGATCCTCTTATGTCCCTCAAATAATAAGCTTGCCTAATTAAAAGAAAGACGGAGACACGACTCCGATCGGTTGCTACACAGGTGTGGCTCAATACTTTACAAAGAAAGGAGGGAAGACTGGGACACAGGCCCGGACCTGGCACGCCGGTTACTACACCGGTCTTGCTCAGTATAAAATAAAAAAATAATAAACCCGGAAGAGGGGCCCGGAAGAGGGTATGCCTGCAAGAGGGCTGGACCTGGAAGAAGGTTCGAACCGTACTTACACGGGCCCATGAGGTTTGACCGGTATCGGGGAATCAGCCGGTGCCGTCAAATTGATTGGGGACTAAAAGATGCCCATTAAAAGAAATAGAAGAGGGATCGTCCACCGTGGCGCATCCTATTTCCCCCTTCTCAGGGAAGACTTGAACGGGGGGTGAGCTAAGGCCTTCCCGGGATAGTAAATATCAAAGGGCCATTAAAAGACTTAATCACCCGGAAGAGGGGGCCCTGGAAGAAGGGTGCATTTTGGGCCTTGGAGAGGGCTCGAAACCATCCGACATGGTTAATTCTCCAATGTTGACCTGGCCTGGCCAGCAGCATTATCTTATTGGAAGACTGAGACACAGGCCTGGCCTGGCACGCTGGTTACTACACCGGTCTTGCTCAGTATAATAAAGAAAATATGTGACCCAGTCGAACTAGTACACTGGTCTCACACCGGTCTTACACATATTTTCCAATAAGCCTGAGCCCAATCGAATTGGGTACACCGATTGCACATCGGTTTCAGCAAAAAAGTGAGCCGAGCTCATATCGGGGACGCCCGATTCATTTAAGCCCTCTATCCGAGGCACTTTGATCGAAGATGGTCTCCGCGAGACATGAAGATATTTACATCAGTCAGTCGGGCTAATGCTGATCTTCAACAAAGCTACTGCATCGGATTCAATTCTTATTAACTAAAGTCAATGTCGTCTGTATACTAATTTCGTCGTGTATCGTTTACTTAGTTCGTACTAACATCGGTCTCGACGAAATGACTACTTGAAGCACCGCCGCTTCATCGTACTAACTCCGGTGTCGTATAACTACTCGAAGCATCGCTGCTTTATCGAACTGACATCGCTCTTGTTACAATAATTATTCGCGCGAAGTTTTTAATCACCTAACACCGAGCTCCTCGGTAAAGATAATAAAATTATTTGAGCACGGCATAGGCCGGTCAAGGAAAAAGAATGTTATACATATTATTTTTGCAGGAAAACTTTCTGATTCAAGAAATTGGAGAACTAATGAAGACTCGGAGGACTAGCAACAATATCAACCGGTCAAGAATCCAAAGTACGAAGATCGAAGATAGCACTCGGAGGACTTGTTTACTTTTTCAAGTTGATGATTCTCACAACTTGAAAAAGTGGAGGACTTATTGATGGGAAATAATACGTGGCTCGGCCCACATTTCCCAATTATTTTACGAAGAATAGTCAAACCCGGCATGTTTAATAAAATAGAGGAATAGGAGAATATTCTTCCGAAGATGCTCCCCCTCCCTCCTATAAAAAGAGGGGTGCCCCCAATGTGAAGAGGAGGCCATCTATCACACTCTCCCCTGCCAACTTCCTCTCTCTCTAGAAATTTGGTAGTTTATTTCTTTAAAGAGGCTTCAAGCTTCCATAGCTTCCATAGCTTCCATTAATGGCTTTTATGCCTAAATCATGTACCGTGTATACACCCCCGATATTAATAAAAATCCCCCGTTGGCAAGGTACCGCCAAAAAAGGCCCGTGGTTTTCTCCCTATTTGGGTTTCCACGTAAAAATCCTCGTGTTTATAGTTTGGTGTATTTTTAGACTAGTTTATTGTTTTAGCCGGGCTAAAAACGATATACCGGTCGATAATTTACACCATCAGTTTCCATATTTAGTCCTCTATTATCAAATATTACCCACGTAGTCCTTTTTTAAGGGTACCTTTCCACAAATGGTCCTTTTTTTATCTTCTGCCGTGTTGATGTTAATTTAAAGGCTAAAAATATAATTTGACGTCAACATTATGTCTAGTGACGTGTTCTGATATTGGTTAAGCGGATAACACAAAAATAATGACTATGATTGTAGGCTAGGATTCTGACGAAAGATCACATTTGTATACTATAGTTGTCGTAAAAAAGCGACTGTAATTCACAAACGACGCAAACGGAACAGCCTTTGGAATTGTGTATGACAAAAAAGATATATTATCATTGTGAAATTACACTTTTAGCCCTCAAATTAACACCAACATGATAGAAGACCAAAAAAAGGACTATTTATGGAAAGGTACCCATAAAAGAAGGACCACTTGAGTAATATTTGATAATAGAGGACTAAATAGGGAAACCCCCCTGTTATAAAGGACCAATTATAGATTTTACTCTTTTAAAAACTACAACACAGATTCTACAAATGAAAATATGTCATAACTATATTATTTTATCACAAACAATGAAAATAGACAAAAAGTCAATGTAATACAAGTTGGTGGTTCATACCCTCCAGGGACCAGGACTAGCAAAGCAAAATTTTACTGCAGAATAGAGAGAAAGCACTTCTTGTAAGAGCACTTTTGGGATAAGTCAGTCATCCAATACAGCTCTAAATGCTAGAGTATAGGACTAGCCATAATATGAAATAATTTTTTACCACAAAAACAGGGTGACATCATCAAGCATTGGCAACCATCTGTGCATGAATTTCACTTTGGGACGCCGAAGCTTCGTCAAGACTACTAGACGGCCCTTCTCCGTGGGCCCGTTCTTTTTCTTCTTCTTTTTCTTCTCTCACGTCTTCAATTTTCTCGGATCGGCGTATCCAATCGTACATCTTCACCCTCGCTTCCCTACAATGTGCCCTTTCGACTAACTTAAGTCCCTTGAATTTCTCTTTTATCTTTGCCTCATCGCCCTTTAGTGACGAGAACACTTTCTTCTCCCCTAGCTCTTCATACTTCTTTTGGATCCTAGCTTTCCAGTACACGCCAAACTCCGAGTCTATCTTCTCGTACGGTGTCTTCAAGAGGTACTCGTCAAATCCACCGGCCTTATCGATGCATCTAAGGGCATGAGTGGAAACCTTAACGCGAACTAAGCGGTCCAGGATGTAGCTGAAGAGGCGCTTCCCCTGCACGTTGGGTTTCCAGTTCGTCCTTGTCCTGTTAATAACAGTAATAATATCATCATCAAATGAACTGCCCTAGTGAATGTCCTTTTCTAGGTTTCCCTGAAATAAAATTCAACAATAGATGCATATACTACATAAAATGCACACACACAAAAATGACGCTTTTCTGCACTGTAGAGGCCCATTTGAAACCAGAAAGTGCTGGGAGGAGAAAATAGAGCAATTTGGAAGGAAAAATTAGAGAGAGGGAGGGAGGGGGGGATCATCTTCCACCTACAATGCAGGATATGGGCGACAGATCAATAAACCGATAGAACAGACCACAATGGTCCAAAGAAAAAGCTTTCAGAAATGAGAATTTTGCATTGCACTTCTTGACGGTTCAACAATCGATGTAGATAAAGCATGCAAATGAGCTTTCATACTACAATAAGAATTGTGTATTCAGCAAGTGAAGTCAAATTACATTTCAGAAAATGAAACATTGGAAAAAATTTACCCATTATCCGCCAGTCATATTCAACTTTCATAATGAGACAAAGTAGAAGGTTTAAGATATGCACACAGCAAGCACACATTTTCTGTATTCCATTCAAAGGGGGGAACGGTCTAAATAATTCGACAGGACATTCATCTGATAGGTAATATTGATGAGGCAACTCTGAAAGAGACTGAGCATAATGGAAGAAAATTTTGAATGAACAAATTTAGTAAACATTTCTAGATGTTTCCACCTTTCTGGTTCTAGACACATTTCATACACTTACTAAACGTTTCTAGTGGTTTCCACAACTCCACCGTGCACAACAAATGGAACATCTCTAATTAATACAGTAGATAACTAGTATTTGTTTCATCCTTTAACATATGCAATTACTCTGGTGGTTGTTAGGATAATACACAATCATGGGAATAACAACACCTCTTGTAATCCAGTATCAAGCCCTAGCTGGCTTCCCATGGCTATATAGACCATGTGTAAGAGAAAAAACAGAAAAGGAAAAATCAATTTAGGCCTCTCATTCGATACGTTATGTAACATGGATTAAATTACCCATCTCCCAAATAACTTGAATGCCAGAAAAGTGGAATACTACGGATACAATTCAGGCTACTGATTGTGTATGAGGAAACATAGATCTCTTTCTCTCCAATATAAACATTAACTTTCAATTCAAACACACAAAGGACAGGCAAATGGACTGATGAAGAAAAATAAACAGGAATGATGATGATGACGATGATTACTTGTTTCCTCCCTTTTCGCTAACTTGATTTCCGTACTGGATATGGCGGCCGGCGTAGAGGCCGCGGTGGGCGCGGCCCATGATGACGTCACTCTTGGGCGGCAATGTCAACAGCCGTTGTTTGGTTCCGGCCGTCAATCTCTTCTCGCCATCTAACTTCTTGACTAGCTTCTTCATTGCATCTTTAGATCTGAACGCCATTTCGAGCTCCGCGCTCCAGCTTCCCTCCCTCTCTTCGGATTCAGATCAGTCGGTACGAGTATTAGTTAGGGTTCTTGGAGAATAAAAGGATAAACCCCAATTTTTTCTATTGCAATTTTTTCCCCCTTCTTTTTTGGCAATGAATAACGCCAGCAATTTGTTTTGTCATTTACTTCAACAAAAAAAAAGTTGTGGTGATAGGGTATATCACTTTGATGTACACGCTTACACACTAAATGTGTTAGAGACACACACAAACAATAATTGTATGTACGCGTACAGATAATTGTTATTTGTGTGTGTTTGCAACACACTTAGTGTGCAAATGGTGTTTACCACACTTGGATTTTCCAAAATAAAAATGTTTTGTCACTCAAACGAATAACGCCACCCTGGTTCCGGTTCGGTTCCCTAACCACTTTATTGGTTCAACTTGATTTTAAAAATTGTAATTTTGGTTTTACGTCTAATTTCAAGCCCAAATTATATCTATGTCTAGCTCACATGGTAATCCATGATCCAATCCTTAGCATGAGAATTACAAGGGCTATATAATAACTATCAAATATGGGAACTTTTATTGTATGAGTATTTTGATGATATACTTAAATATTCACAAAATCTTATAGACTTTCTAACATAATTTTTTTAAAAAGTACGGAATATTAGAAATGTGCATGATGATAGTAAGCAAATGCTTACTACCATCATCTCTAGGTGCATCATAGACCTTAGAGCTATGGTAGAATTGTCTATTGGCATTACTTGCCCTTTATTGACAATTGTGTTAGAAAAAAAATCTTGTATATTTTTGCTCGTCCAGAAATTAATTTCCCCTTTTCATTTTTACAAATACTTCTTGTGGCTCACATTATTCTCTCTTTGAGTACAACCACAAACTGTTTTACAATTTTGATCGTAAATAGTGAAATGGGAATAATCCCCAAAGTATCACAAACTAGAAGAGTGAATTTAGAAAATTTTCCAAACAAAAGCGCTTTGTATGTGGTCTTTTCAATGTAAGAGACCACCTCAATGTTCTTAGTTAGTTTTAAAATTTGACATGCCTATTAAAAAGATATTTCTTTGGCAGATATAAAATTATTTTTTAGAGATTTAAACAAGAACTTTATTTTGGGACACAGGGAAAACATATAAATCATATTTTGGAACGAATAGAGTAAAACATATCAATGCACTTTGGCACAAATAATGTTATGTTTTGAATGTGTCTCGGGGAACTACCGTTTACATGAAAGTCCTACTGAATGTGTGTATATAATTAGAGTAACTTGTTACACAATAAAAGTACAGTGTCTGTGGGGTGGAGCCGCCATTCATGAAGCGCCTATAAAAAATTTCCAAGTGAAAGCCAACCACAATTATCGACCAGGACGAAGATAAACGGAACAGGGCCCACCTCTGCTTAGACTGTGGTTCTAAAGAATGGATGGTTAAGCGCTTCTCGTGCGGTAAGACGTTCAGATGAATCAAACTTCAACAAGCCATGTAGCAAGTCTAGAAGGTATGATGATCTTGGGCACCTCAGCTGCATGGATACAAGATCCTGT